TATTAATATTATTTTATTACTATCCTTAAAAAATAATTATCATAATAAAAGAAATTCCTTTCTTTTGCAACAGAACTGCAAAGTGGAGATCGTTGCTGTGGTGAATGATGCTGTGGGGACCCTCATGTCTGCAGCTCACGGTGACCGTAACTGCGAGATTGGCATCATTCTGGGCACTGGCTGCAACGCGTGCTACATGGAGCGCTTGGACAATGTGCACACCTGGAACAAAGAAGAAAAGGATTTTCAGCCGAAACAGGTGAGAGTTATTCGTATTAACTGTGTGGCGTCAGTGGCCTAGTGGTTAGGCTACCAGACTCGTAATTGTGAGGTTGCGGGTTCGGGGGTTCGAGCCACGAGCCGGACGTTGTGTTCTTGGAAAAGGCACTTTACACGAATTTTCCCCTCTTCACCCAGGTGGGAATGGGTACCCGGCCATAGACAGCGAAAGATCTTGTCAGTATATTAGTATATTAGCGCCTATAATTGGCTGCTTGCACTGTATGCTTCCCAGGAAGTTGAAGTTGTTTCAGAATGCTCTCAGGTCTGCTGGGGTAAAATAATGATCTATATTCTATTACATGCCTTTTTGTTTCAACCAAATGACTTAAAAAGCTCTTATTGAGTTCTGAGTGCTCTAGCACATGAACATTCTGAAGTTTCTGGCCATGGTTTGATGACAGTGTCATCTACAAGTACAAGACAAACGAAAATTTGAATGATGTTCAACAGCTATTTTTAATCAACAAGTACCCTGTTTGCTGCAGAAAACATTAAAAGATTATGATGGAGTTAAATATTTTGTGCAGTTTTTCTTCACAAATACTTTTGAGGATATATTTACAGTGTGCAATATGTAGCTTGTGTACCAAGATGAAAGTCTGAGCAACTAGCAGCAGTTTGAACTCACAACCTGAATTGTAACCGGTCAGGGATGTAAAGTGTCTCATTTTATCTTCCATAGTAGACCAGAGTAAAAGAACTTTCCCCCCTCCCTTTCCCCCACCCACTCCAACGAGTTTTTCTTTCTTTGTTTCGTTCCTTTTTTTCTTTCTTTCTTTCTTTCTTTTTTTCGTTTGTTCACTTCATTTATGATTCTGCTAGCTTTGAATCTTGTCACGTTTACGTGTAGTGAGATAAATCAGTGTCGGGTAGTGTTATAATGTTTGTTTTTTGTGGTGGCACGATGAAATGAATGTTTTAATCTTTTGTCGTTCTGCCAAGTCTGATAATAAAGATAACAAAATTTACCCCCTGTTATAATAGTTTGCTTCCTGCCTGGCAAAAGATATCTTTAAAATGTACTGCACTTTTTTTAAACATGCAGATAATGTTGTGATGTGGGTAACTTGCAACTTTTTGCACTTGTGATGTTATTCAGTTTTGATAAGTAGGCACTTAAATCAGGGGTTTTGCTGGGTAATAATTACTCATTCTATAGTTTTGAAGTGCTAGTAGTGGTCTCCTGCAAGTTTTTATCACCTTCAGGACAGTGAAACTTCACCCAGGGTCATAAACTATCAGTTACTCTAGGACAGAAAAGAAAGATGGTGATAAATTTGCTGCCTCCTACAGTCCATGATCTTGGCAAGAGCAAATTTGCACATGGAGATGAATCTTTTATGTCGTAATGTCCGTTTTCAAATAAATGTATAGTGTATTTATGCACAGACATAAAGACGACATAAAAAAGGGGGGGGGGAGGAGGAGGCTCTGGAGCTTTGTTGTTTAGGTTTTGTAAAGATTCTGACATTTATGAAGAAAAGAAATTTTTTTTTTGACATCTCAGACATTCACCCGAGCTTCGGTTTGATTATTCTCCTTCTTAACAGAAAGAAAGTAGGTTATTTTCACCAGAAATTGAAATGGAATGGGAGTGGGGATGAGGGAACTCCTTGGTCACATTGCTGTGATAATATATATATATATTAGAACTAAGATTTTTTCAGTATGTAAGCATATTTTTCTGGCTGTAATAGTGTGAGTACGGTATTATATATGCAGTACTTACGGTTTCAATGTTCCCCTGCCATGTTGAAGTTACAGCAAAACTACATTTTGTCTCACGTCCTTGACATGTGTTCATTTTTATTTATTATATTGCTATTTGGTCTAAAATGATAACGTTATATGCAGAGCAAGTCAGTCCAAGATCGTAATATTAGTTTTAATAAAGCTGTCACACACCTTCAGTATTACATCGACAGTGAGAGGTTTAGTGAACCGAGTCATGCGAAAATCAAAATAGTTTAAAAAAATGTTAAGTTACAACTGCTTTTAGATGGTAAATCTTTAGGATATAACCGGTTGTAATTAAAAGACTCATTAATTCTAACTCAGGGACAGGGCATTAACCTGTGGTAGCTGGCATTGTGCTACTGAACTGATCATGATGTTATGATGCATAAATGTACTGATAATTACACATGTTAATGTAAAACAAACTCATACGAAGGTCAATAAACTTGTTGGTTTTCTTTCTTTTTAATAATCTTTTTTTTTCATGAAAAACTTGCTTAAAATTATGTATTTGTCCGTTTCCTTCATTTTAGGTGATCATTAACACAGAGTGGGGTGCATTTGGAGATAATGGATGTCTGGATTTCATGAGAACAGAATTTGACAGAGAAGTGGATACTTTCTCGGTCAACCCAAGCAAACAGACGTAAGTAAATTTGACGACTTCTTCAGGGGCGGACCTCTTTTTTGTATCTACTATGATTTCGAATGATCAGCTCTATCACTGTCTTCCTCACCAATGTATTTGGCCCTTAAGTAGGAATTATGAGATGTATGAGCAGGTATAGCTGTGAAAAGGCTGCAAGTCTGATTGTTTTTTTTTTAGTGTCAAGTCTTTTTGCTTTTTTTTGTCAACACCAAATGAGTCAGTAGTTATGTTATATCTTTTATTTTCACTACTCTAAACAAACATTGTTATTTCAAAAAGTTGAAGGATTGGGTTTTTGTAATAGTAAAAGGTTATTATAGAAAGGATTGGGAACAGTGGAAATGTTTTGAAACATGCCACATTTTTATAAAGCCAAGTTGGACATCTGTTTCCACCCCTGTCCCCCCTGACAGTTGGCAGGAGTCCAGGCAGCCAAGTCTCACTTACATCTGCATAACCTTGGTTGACAGCTTTTGTTGCTTTGAGCGAGGCTGATTTTTTTTTCTTTTTTTTTTTTCTTGTTCTTGTTGAAAATATGCTGACCTGGCTTACCAAAACAGACTTTGAGCAGAGGTATTTAATGTCAGCAGTTGGTTCATCACTTCTTAGATAGAAAAAAAAAGGTCTTTGTATGATGGTTTAAAAAATGAAAGTGATTTGCATAGTTGCATCACTCTGGTTAGCTTTTATGTTTTAGGTTTAATGTCAGTCATACTTGCAAGTTTGTAACTCTCTGTATGTATGTATGTATAGTATAAGGTTTTACGGCGCTCGCAACTGCTAAGGTCATATGAGCGCTGTAACTCTCTATCTCAAGATTGTTTTGTTCTGTTGTTTTGTTGGTGGGGGGAGGGGGGGGGGAGGGGGGTTGTGATTGTGGCGGCTGCTATATAATTTTTCTGCCTTAAAAAAAAATGTTTCATGCATTTCAATGGAAGCTCAAGCAGTGCAAAAAGCCATGAACAATTTTTTTAAAAATATAAATCAAAGTACATAAACTTAGTTACATGTTTTCTAGTAATGGCATCAAATATTAAAGAGTCGTCCTGTGATATAATGAGAAAATTTCAAAGCATATGATATTATATAATGTTACATATTGCATTTCTGGGGTTACTCACAGTCTCAGCTGTGTCCATCTGCACACATGACTCGGTGCAGTTTATGCTTATTCATGCTTACCATCTCCACGTGGGGAAATTTTACGACCACATTAATTGTGATTGTGACTGTTAATGTTTTTGTTTTACTACATCACCTGCCATCTCTCTCCTTCTTCTTTTGTGATTCATTTTTACAAAATAGTCGGTCAGTATTGTCAGAAACTGGGTCCCTACTTTATAATCAACCTCTGTTGAAAACCCATATATATTATATACGTACAAAAACAATGTATCGGATGGGAATCCAAACATTTTTTGAGTGTGTGTGTGTGTGTAACAGTCTGTAAATGGAATATCTCCCCATTTGGCTTTCAAAATGGCAATGTTGTCCCCATGAAAAGACCCAGATCTTTATAAATGCTACCTCCATGGTCAGTTCAAGCCATTAATACCTGGGTTGTAGTCATGTCCCCCTCTTCCAGCTGGACTCGTCTCAAAGTAATGGATGATAGTGATTCGATAGAGTGGTTGGTGAAATGTAGAACATCTGCTCCTCTGTTTCATTTTACAATTTTTTACATTTCACTTTGTTGTAGGCCTGCGTAACTGTTCGATGATGCCCTTGTATGATTAATTTGTGTCAATCTCCCCCCTCCACCTCTGCTTCCCACTCCCCCACCTTACTTCCCCCTCCCCCTCTCCAACCATGGACACACACACACACACACACACACACACACACACACACACACACACACACACACACACACACACACACACACACACACACACACATACAAACACACACACACACACACACACACACACACACACACACACACACACACCAAAAATGTATTTGAGGACAGGATTCTTTCATCTGTGTTTGAGAGCTGTTATATTTAAAGTTACCTGTGGTACTCAATATGACAGTATTGTTAGGTTATTTCTGTATCTTATCACTGGAACCAGAATCTCTCTGACCTAGTGACCCAGAGGGTAGGGGCATATTTTCTTGTTTTTGAAGCCGGAGTATTTTTTCAGGTCCAGGTCATGGCCATGAATTAGAGAATCAGGCGATAACGGAACTTAAAATGTATATTTACTGTAATTCGTGGTTATTGTCTCTTAAGTACTTCAGTGCAAGGCTCCTGTGCAGGAGCGTCCTTGCATTTGCACAATATGTAGCCCATGGAACATTTGCTGCGTCAAAGTCTTTCTTATCTCTGCACCTCCCTGCTGTTTGTTATGGCAGGTGCATTATTATAGTGGGTGGTTGGAGGGCGCTACTCTTAGGTATCCTTTATTTCCCCTCTAATTCTTCTGCTCGTCTTACTCTTTTCCTGTACTAACTGACCGCTATTATATTGATGTACTTTGCTTTGTTCAAACAATCAATCAAACAAGAGACATATAATTCCCTTCAATCACAATAGGGATGTCATTGTTGTGTTTTTTGTTTTATGTTTCCCATTTTCTCCACATTTATGTCTCAGTAGATGGGTGGCCTAAAGATGCGAAGTGTTTTAGAACAAAATGTTACCAACTTTTTGCCCGAATATTGAAATTACAATTTGAAGTTTTTACCAACTGCTGACAAACAAACTGTCTCAGGCATCATTTCTCTCTGATGTATATATGGGTGGTTGGCTCGTGCTCTGTTGTGGTTTGCTTCTTCTTTCCTAACAAACATCTATCGTCCTTATCTCTCCACCTTCTTTTTTTCTGTGTTTGTTACTCTCTTGTAACACTTTATTGTGTTGCAAGTGCTGTAAAACACTTACCGTACTAAAACTGAACTCTCACCTTGGTTTTAATGTTTTTCTTCACAGCCATGAGAAAATGATCTCGGGCATGTACATGGGGGAGATTGTGAGGCTAGTGCTGGAGAGACTGACCCACGATCAACTGCTGTTCCGCAGTGTGGACCGAGAATGTGCTTTGTTTGAGCGCGGCCGCTTCTACACCAAATACGTATCTGAAATTGAGAGGTAGGCTGTCCAGAATGTCCTGCAAACTTGTTGATATCAATGTGTGAGTGTGCTGGAAACAAAATGAGTGACTTCTCGCTGTCTGTGAATAGAAATATTGGCTGAAAATCGACATACGGGTCAAATTTGTAGATTTTCAACTGATGCCATTTTCTTCAAGTCTAACTTTTCTATTATTATGTCATGTTGATAAATTGTGCAAAATATCCATAGGGATAAAATCCAAGAAGTTACTTGTTATGTCAGCAAGCCTCACATATTACCTTAGTTCCCTGTTCCTGGCCGTGTTAAAAAAAAAAATGCTTTTCTAAAATCTGTTCATGAGCTGCTTATAATTTATAACAGCACTGTTTTAAATATCCGATACTTATCTTCAGATATTGAGACATGTAATGTCTGAATGTCCTGAAAAGTTGTGTTATTATTATTTTGCTTTTTCACTGTGCATATAATAGGTTTCAGAAATTGAAATGTATGATTGCTTCTGCACAAGCCTGTGAACTCTCTTTCATACATCAGAGCTGTTTATTATACTAGCAGGCTACTTTTCAGAAACTAAGACTAAAAAATACTGTTTTTTGGGGGTTGAAATTGAATTTTCCCCGAATAGGCCTACTTAATTGGTTTTTAAAATCAGGATTTATGGTTCTGGTGTGTACGTTTTTGTTAAATCAGTTTGAAGCAAGAATTCAGATGTTGGTTTTGACATTTTTCCTGTCTCCAAACGTGTGTCCGAGGCTTCCGACATGTTTTCAAGTGTATTATTAAGCTTAACAGTGCGTTGAGAGGTCATAAGGTGTGTGGTATGAACCTTTACATTGTTTGTGAAGTTCTGCTATGTAGATATAATATACATGTTTTTTTTGTGTGTTATTTTTAGTTTATTCAAATATAATATGTGATGGTTTGTTTCATTATGGAGGGCTTCATATTTTCACAGTGACACTGATGAATTTTTCCGACACACAAAGCAAGTTCTGGATGATATGCAAGTGGAGAACTATACAACTGAGGATTGCAAAATTGTCAAGTATGTTTGCACGCTGGTTTCTGCCCGGGCCGCCTTCCTGGCAGCAGCTGGTAAGTGGATCAATACAGGTCCTATTTGTTCAGCGTCTCCTGTTTCTGTTTTTCTGTTTCTGTTTCGCAGGGCTAGGCTAGTGCTATTCTTGTTTTGATTCTTATCGGGTTTTTCTGTCCTCTGTATGTTTGTATGTTTCTTTATTATGTGGGGTTTTGGGCATGTGCTTACTGCATGTGTATATGTTTGTATATGTGTATGTGTATGTGTGTGTGTGTGTGTGTGTGTGTGTGTGTGTGTGTGTGTGTGTGTGTGTGTGTGTGTGTTTTGTCTATGATTCATGATGTGTGCATGTGTGTGTATGTATATTTGCATTAGTGAATGTTCTCATGCCCTTTGTTGGTGTATAATAAGTGGGTTTTTGAAGGGTGCCTCATCCTTTTTCTCTGGTCAGATCGTCGATGGGCTTTCTTGTATTGTCTGTTCCTTTCATTTCTGTTCATTTGCTAAAATTCTAAATTGTTTCTGTTAAAACATGATTCTTATCATGCTGACTCTTTAATCATGACAAAAATGGTAAAGCAATGCATTTGTGTCACGACATGGGGGATCAGGCGCTTGTCAGTTTGTGGGTATATGGAGTTATTGGCATCATCTTAAAGCCTGTTCTTTTGCCATGCTCTTGATGAAAAAAATAATACCCATCTGTGTTGATAAACGTAACCTTACATCCCATCCAACTTTTAGTATCTTCATCTGGTTTTTATCCGCACCCAATGTTTAGTATCTTAGTCTGTGTTTTATCCGCTCCCCAATGTTCAGTATCACAGTGTGTGTTTTTTATTTCTCGTAGGGCTCTCCACTCTCATCAATCGACTGAACAAACAGGACATGACGATCGCGGTGGACGGCTCTCTGTACCGCTTCCACCCGAGGTTCCACAACCTCATGTGCCTCAAAATTAAAGAGTTGGTCAAGCCTGGACTGAAGGTATGTGCTTTCCTCTTTGCTTACAAAACGGTCAAACCTGATCTAATGACCACCTATATGAGACAAGTACCTGTGCAAATGACCGCCACCAGAACCCCCCCCCCCCCCCCCCATGTTTTTTTCATGTTATAAAGACACTGTTTAAGAAGACCACCTGTCTTAGATGACCACTTTTCTACTCGACAGTGGGTGTCTATCTTCGACCATTTAGTTTGTTTAAATCGAATATGCTCGAATGACAACCTGTCCAAGATTGTCACCTGTACAGTTGACCACTTTCCACTTTGGTATATATAATGATACTGTCCCAGAGGACCACATGACTAAGATGTCCCCTTTTCTCCTGACAATAGGTGGTTGTTTTGGACAGGTTTGACTGTATATTATATTTACAGAATGAATAAGAATGGCTGTGGGTCAAAAGTGTGTGCTTATGATTTAGCTTGTGTGTGTGCGTGTGTGTATGTTTGTGTGTGTGTGTATGTGTTTGTATGTGCTTACGTGCGTGCGTGTGTGTGTGTGTTAGTGACTTCTTTGCCCATATTGATATGCTTGTTGTGCATTGTGTCCTCCCAGTCTAGTAAAGAACAGAGGAAAGAAAAACATATTTAATTTGCTGCCATGTTCTGGCCTCAAAATACAGTCAAAATCAATATTGTGAGAAGAAATACTTTCATGGCTGTGAAGTGGTGGCTGATTTGTTCTGAATGAAGCAGTTAAAATGTTCCCTGGCTGTCACGTTGCTTAACATAGAGGGTCTACATTTGGGAAACCCTATATATTTTTATGGGTTGGCATTTATGATGGACTTAAAAACCACCCAGCCCAAGAAATAGCTCAATTGACAATAGGAAACTTAAAAGGTTTCATCTGTCGACATTAGAGATTTATATCACTGATTAGAATGCACGTAATTGAAGATAACAGCTATTTTTAAGTTGTACTTGTCCTGCTTTTACGATGAGGTGACAAATATTTTTCTCAAAGTAAAAGTGGTCACGCTCAGTTATGTTTTGTTTTTACTTCAGTATAATTGTGAGCATGTTTTTTTTGTCTGTGTTTTTATATTTTGTCCCCAGAAAAGTCTTAATTGTTATATTTAAGCCTTTGATGAAATCTATGAGACTCTTGACATGTACATTTTAGTCTATATAACCAATATGTCACGACATGGTGGAATCAGGTGCTCATCAATTTTTGGGCCAATGAAGTTATTGGTATCATCTCAAAGCTTGTTCCTTTGTCTCGCTGTTGATGGAGAAAAAAAAATACAGATCTACCTTGAAAAAAGTCGAGATACAAGTATTTTCGATTAAAGGAGCTGGGGTTGTCTGGTGTCCGAGGTAAAATTAGCGAGGAAACGACTTTCAAACTTGGTGACTTCCAAAGCTAAGCTTGAGTGTCCTTGGAAACTGCATACTTAGTTTTTTGTGCCTTTGATCAATGTTTTTCAGTAACATTCACACAGATATGTGGTTTTAAATGGACATAAAAGGTGTCGAGTCAAAAAAAAAAAAATTATATATAGAAATTGCTCAACAGGCATAAGAATGTTGGTTTCTCTGCTTTTATTATTTTGATGAGCGCCTGATTTCACCACAATGCCACACAGTTAATGTTAACCTTGGACATCACAGTGATGGGAGAGAAAAAACCCCTGGAAGTTGCAATTTCATACCCACCTTCTGTAGCAATGATTCTTTTAATAAAATAAAAAATTTTAAAATATAATTTCTTCTTCAGTTCCGGCTGTCTCTGTCCCATGACGGCAGTGGGAAAGGAGCAGCGCTGACAGCAGCAGTGTCTCTCCGACTCCGCAATTTGAAAAATGTGGAAGAAAATGGATTCACTCAACCGGAAATGGTCTCTGTGAAAGCATAGATCCTCAGGGTCTGATCGTGATGTTGGGAAAGAAAGGACAATACTGATGTGTGAATTCGTACAAATGGGAAGTTGTGGCACAGAACAAGGCAAAGATGAATTGGAGAAGTGGTTTTACTTCAGTTACTATATTACGTTCATTTTGCTTCAACATTTAAAAAAATTGCTTAACCCTATTATACTGAACTATAGATAAGTTCGTTTGCCTTTCTTGTGCAAATGCAAATTGTATGGTAGTATGAAATTTCTAACTCTTAAAGCTTTCAGACTTGACCGCTCTGAGAGATTTTTGTAGAGCCGGTTTGAAATTTATTTTTTTAGAGAAAATGTAAAAAATATGCTTGTTTAGGAGTATTAAATCTAGTTTAAAAAATAATGAATGTGATTATGTATATCATCTTGCATTCAATTCCTTCTCAAAGTTGTCTGTTTAAAGTTTCTGAAGTGGCTCAAACTTTTACAAGGGTAAAAAAAGTGAATGAAAAAAAAAATGTTGAGATGTATGGTATGAACACGGACAGACTTATGACTCATCTACATTTGTTTGTTTCTGAACTTCATGATTTGTGACTGTTTTCATTGTTCATATGCTGACAGATTTTTTGCCGTGTTTGCTTAGTGCTTGATGAGTAACCAGTTCTGTACTTGCACTTAATATTGACTCAACTTGAAAGAGAAAAAAGGATGAAAACTAAGCAAATCTATTGGATGGTTTCTCCATCTAACATTGTTAGTTGCTTTTTTTTCTTCTATTTTAGACCTTCTGATTGTCTCTGTTTGAATAGTGAAATAAAAATAAGGCTTCAACGTCTATGACTGATTTAGAGAAATGTTTATTTTTAAAAAGCCAAAAAACATTTCATATATAATAGCTTTGTCATTTCTTTTTCCGCTCTGTGGAAAATAAAGGTGCAAATTTTGATTTAAAGTATTATTATTCTGTACAAGCTCATTGCATTCTTTGGATTGCAGAGTTAAAGTTGTTGTCTCTACCTTTTTTTTGGTCAAAGGTAGATGTAATTGTCGTTTTCCTAGTGCTATTCTTTTAGATTCCTGTTTACTTCAGTATTGCTGGAATAATTTTCCTTTTGTTTGATAATGGCTCAAAAACTTGTTGACATTTGTTCATTCGCATTACCAGAAGTGGACTGTGTGTGGAGATGCTGGTGATTGTTTCTCATATTTCTGGAAGAAATGTTGTCTATTTATTGCATTTCAAAGATATGAACTGCAACTAGTGGAAATGAATGAATTGTAATTTATTTCCCGCCAGACACCTGGGCATGTTCTTTCACTAGCCTTTGCGTGATATATTATAATTGTTGGGATTCTTGTGTATTGACAGGCTAACTTTGAATTTGCCAAAATGTGTTTTGTTTTATGCATCATTGGTCCTACAGTGAGTGTTGAATAAATGAATGTTAAAATTTTTAGTCACTGCAGAAGAAAAACCCAGTTCATCTTAATTAATATGTTGAAAAACCATACCTTTTGTGTCTTCGTTGTTGAGAGGGATGATAAAAACCATCTTTGGACAAAGACGTTGATGATTGTCTTGTCAGATATTATTATGTATTTCTGTTTAGAATAGGATAGACAATTCAGTTTGTAATTGATTAGATTGCGTATAAATATTCATATTAATTTTTGACTGTGTGTGTAAGGAAAAAAAGGTTAGATCTATTTTAAAATATATTCTTTTGGTGTTTAGTCCCTGATTCATTTTTTTTTTTTTTTCAATCTTTCATTGCAGTTTCAGTTGTAAGCATAAAAAGTTTTTGAATCTCACTGAGTGGGTGTCATGTTGCACCGGTCAGATTTGCCAGTACATATAACACAGATTTTTCATTTACAGAACTTTAAATAAAATCAGAGTTGGTCGAGACATACTGATGCTGTCATATTAGATCTAGTTGAGTTTTGATTAAAGCCAAAATTCTCGCAAATTAAGAGGAATAAAATAATGAACTTTCATATTTATATTATTTATGGAACTTCAGCAGTTTAGACTACCTATCAATCTTTATTGTCTTAGCACCGATCTGTCTGATCTTTTACATCCATGCCTGTACTGCCACATAATGTGCTGGACAACTGTTAAAAGATATGTAGCTTTGAAATCTTCTGATAATTAGAGAGATTGCAGTAGTTTGTTATATTCTGAATTATTCTGTTTTGGCATGTTACTGTGTTTGTTATATTATATCTATTACTTTCACAGTATCACTGTATCCTGTGATGAAAGTGACTGTCAATGGTCAATGATGCATTGCACTGCTGTCATGAAGTTGTTTTAACATTTTACCTGGAATGTATTCTTTTAACTGCAAGTGTTGAAAAAAAAATATATACCAGACGCAAAACAAGCAACCCTGAGTGGGATTGCATGTACTTCTAATGCTAAGTGTCGGAACTATTTCCTCAAGTGTGGTATGAAGGGTACTTTGTCAGTTTAAAAGACACGCTGGAAAATTTCATGTAGATATACTGAACTTGTTACCTCATTTGTTCGTATTTTGTTATATATTGACAACTATTGATGTTCTTCTCATGATACTTGCAGCAAGTCTCTGCCTCTTTGAAAGGAAAACTTACTGAGTGCACTCTTGCGGAAGGAATTCATGATGTGTCAGATTGGATAGCTGCTTCTATTCTGGCGCTGAAGTACCTGCTTTAAAATATATTGTTTCCTTGTAACTCATTGTAAATTTTGTACATTTAAAATACACTTAGAAGGAGAAGCCTATATATTTGCTTTCTTTCGTCAGCATAAGGTGTTATTTTTTTATTTCTTTCCAAGCCAATTAAAACTTTTAGATAGATACTTAATGTCCAGAAAAATATAGATTCTGAAATATTAAAAGAAATAGGTGAGTCATTACCAATCAGTTTGCCCCATTTTACCATTATAATTTAGAGAAAGTATTTTGTACATAATTTTAGAAATATTTTTTCTCCCCACTTTCAGTTCTCAAAACTCGAGAGTGACTTCTAAAATTTCGGTATTGTTCTTGTCCTGTAGCCTTTTTTAGCTTTCTGAGCAGTAAAGGCAACTACTTTGTTTTTATTTAATAATTTTTTTTTAGGGTGTTAAGGTGTGGGGTATGAGGTGGTGACGAGAGCTCTGTCAGGAGTGTTGCATAATTAAAGAAAATTGTTTTTCGGTTGTCGTTTTTTGTTTTTTGTTTTTTGTTTTTTTTGGGTTTTTTTAGAATTGTGCACTTGGAAAGAGAGATTATTTTCCTGTACGCAAAAAGAATTTTGGAACAGATATATGTTGTTGAATTAAATTTTACACTTTGAAGAACAGGTTTTATTTTTGTTTTCGCCATTCCATAGTGTGAGTCAAATGTCATGGAACAGCCGATGCTCGCTTTTTTTTTTCTTGTCTTTCGTTAAATGAATAAAAGTTTCTTTTTTTTTAAATTTAAGTTTATTCAGAAATTTTTACATACACCTTTCAGCTTCAAAGATTTTTAGCTATATTTTGATTGATTAGAGGCGCTTGCATATAATTAGTGTATGCTGTGTGTTCCAACCCTGCTCTCTTACATTAGGGCTTCATTTGATGGGGCCCTTCAACTTTTCATGTTCCATGTTCATACTCACGTATTCATGTATTCATTGCCTTCGCTCAGGCCTTGTTGGCTTGGGCAGAAGGAGAGGTACTGTACCCAAATTTGTTGCATTTTCGGAGGGGTTTTTTTTTTCCTTCTCTGTTGGGATTGTATAATAGAATGTGCTTGTTACTTCCAAACAGATTGAGTGTCGATACCATTATATTATTATTATGCTCCAAGTTCAGGTTGTTAATAAACAAACTCCAATAATGATGCCTGCCCTCTCGTCCTTTATTATGAAGAGTGATAGGTCATTTTCTGTATTGTATTCTGCGTTTTCTTCCTTATTTGTTGTGTTTTGTTTTTGTTGTTTCCACCTACTGTTTATTTTTTTTTTAAAGATTGTTTTTTATTCACTCTTACGACACCCCCTTCTCTCTCTCTCTCTCT